AGCAGTGATGAGTAAGTTCATCTCATAAACCCTTGTTCATGAGTTCAGTCCTTGCTGGGAGCTCTAATGCTATGATTTTGTGTCAGATAAGGCTAAATTCAGTTAAATTGCTGCCAATAGCAACAGAGCTTTAACAACCAGGAGAGTTTTTAATACACTCAAAATGTTCTCAAGCATATAATACACTTGGCATATCAATTCAAGTAGCTACTCGACAGAAATGCTTAGCATGATTCACAAGTCATTTTTTAGTAAGTTCAAGTCTTGTTGGGTACTCAGCAATTGTGGCCTTGAATCACAATAAGCCAAGTTTTGTAATTATTATGTAACAATTTTGTTTCTTAAAAAATAAAAAATATAATTATGGAGATTTTATTATCACAGGAAAATAACATGGATTACCAAATAAAAAGTAACCTTTTAAAAATGGAAATCTATTATTTTTACTTTGAATAAACTTAATTTTTGTATCAATGTTTTGTTTTTATCTCAACACCTTTCTCTTCCCAAATATCTGAACTTCATAGATTGTATTCATGACTAACCATGGGAGACTTGCCACCCCACAAGAAGGAGAACAACACTCTAACTAATTATTTTAGTATGGCATGCAGGAGTGGAAATACAGGGAGTTAGTAAAGGAGAATTGGGTAGATTTGCAAAGCACATATTTCTGCCTTCACTGTTAAGGAAAGATTCCTCCGGGACCACAGATGAACTGTGACCTTGACTTTCTCCCATACTGCTGACCAATTCGTTTCCAACAGGAGAGTAGAACTGAACCAGACACCAAGTATCTTGACAGACCCATCCATCCAGAGAAAAGTCCCAGAAAAAGAAACTCCCTTCAACACACCAAACTGCAAGCCAAAAGACTTATGATGGTTGATCTTGACCCTTGTCACCATCTCATACCTTCTGATCTCTTTGCTGACTTTTTCACTCTTGGCTCTGCTCGAAACAAGAACTGAAACATCATCAGCATAGGTGGAGTACCTGGTAAGAAGATTCTGTGTAGCACCATATTTGCCTTTAACTTGTGAAGGAAAAGCTCCAACACAAGAACATAAAGCAAAGGTGAAAACTGACAACCTTAACGAATGCAACAAAACAACACAAAAGGCTTTGATCATACCTCATTCATTTCCACCAGCACACTGGGGGACACATACAGAAATCAGATCCAAGTGCAAAAGTACGGCTTGAAACTGGCGATGAAAGTACAACCTTCAGAAAACAATGGACAACCCTATCAAATGTCTTGGACTGATCTAAATTGATCAACACAGCTTTACTGTTGACACGCTTGATGATCAAATGAAGGTTGTTCTGAATAGTCCTGCTCTTCACAGCATGTCTGCTCAGAGCCAATAAGACTAGACAGGACAGCCTGCAAACAGTTGGCTAAGATCTTGGCTAAAATCTTCAACATTGTATTTAACACAAAGGCTGAAAGTTATCTATCCCATTCCCACCATTTTCGTTTTTGCATAGCAACTTGATCACATCTCTAGTGAAGTGTTGAGGTATAGACCCCTGATTCATCTAGTTGTTGTAAATCAAAACAGAAACACAAGGCTTAATCAGTCTGACACAGTAACAAACAGGAATTCACCAGACAACTAAAAATCCTCTCCCTCCAGAGAAAAATGAGCTTAAATTGAGCTACTTGAGCTGAACCAGCAGTGGAGACAAATTAATTCAAAAAAGCATTAGTTTTTATAACCAGAAGGATATAAATTCAATCACTATGTGAAGTAAAAAAAAATATTGTCCATAGAATAGAACTTAACTGTTACTATTATATATTGATATACCTGGACCATTTCCCTCATTTTTAACACAAATGTTTTTCTTGCTGTACCATCTGTCTTTCTGAATTTAACTAATGAAGATTCAGTTGATCTCCCAAGCTCACGAGTTCAATCCTCACTAGGCATTTCTCTATTGTGGTCTATAACAACTTATCTCAAAGTTTCAAATAAAAATAAACATCCATCTGTTTATAAAGGAAATTTTAAAAAAAATAACAAAACAACATAAGTACAATTCAAGGCTAATTAATACTTTTTCTTTATTTCAGATGACTTTCCTAGAGTTTATAGAAGCTCTTGTTGGTTGTGCAGAAGTTTATGTGACAGAATCCATTGTGGAATCAGTATCTTCCTTCCGCCAGGTCACCTCTTGTGAGTTCGGAGTCATGACACCATTTGTACAACAATATACTCCAAGTACAGGGATTAATATTGAATCTTCTTCAACAAATATCATTGGAGCTAATTTCACACCTGCTTTGTTTCCAGTAGCTATAACAGAAATTGGGTCAAGCACACCAGGTGGTATATTTGCCAAATCTCCTTTATCTGCAACACCTCCACAGGCACAGCAAACTGCAGCTGTCTCTCCTGATGTTGAATCTCCTGATTTGTCACTTTGTGATAATATACAACTTTCCCAAATATCAGATACAAAAATAATTGATATTACAAAGGTCCCTGAGGTAAGTTGCATCATTTTGTCTCAGAGTTTCACATCTACAGTTTCTGTTATGTGTACCAGAGAGAGGTATATACACATACACCCACATGAATGCACACACGCAAATATAACTTTTATTGACTGGAAATGGAAACGGTGTTTATATATCAAAGTACAATTTGGGTTAAGATGCGTGTTTACCGATGAGAAACACGATCTCACTAGTAAACAATGGGGATGGGTGAGATACTTGGTTTTGTTTAACAGTATTTGTTTTGATCAAAAGGTTGAATCAATGTTTAGATATCCCAAAGTATAATTTTGGTAAAGCGAGAAGAACTCGTGATTGAGATAAGGTAAATAATTGGATAGTTTTTGGCACTTTTTTTTGGTAGCTGCATGCCGGGCCGAGGGTCAATTGTGATCAGCTGATCCTTTTTCTATATTAACTCGAGATTTTGCTAATAAAGCTGACTCGAGGAAAGAGACTGTTGTTGAGAGAGTCACAAGATTATCATCGCAGTGAGTTGAGAGATTTGCGAGAGAATTTTGGAGGAGAGAGAGAAGACTAACCCCTGTTTTGAGAAGTCTGTATGAGATGGGACTATTAGTCATAAACCTACCCCAGGCGATTCAATACGCGTTTATCACATGCAAACCCTCTCTCTGTTGGGAATTCGCTGGATGCATTTTGTCTTTTTCTTTTCTCATTTATGCTAAATGTTTTTATTCTCCCTGTAACCTCTGTTCTGATGTTATCTTCTTATATAAAAGACGTCAATATTTCCCCCATTGTTGTCTGGTTTCTGCAGATATTATTTCTTGTTTTATTTTGCCACATTCTAAACTTCCAGGCACCAACTCTCACAGCCATGTCCACATCTCCAGTCGACCATGAACGTATGGACAACACCCTGCTTACTGGATCTAAAAACTAACACAGTGTGGGCAGCGAGCAGTTGACTGGTCAAAATAATCTACAGGTATATCTCTGAATCTTTGGTACCATATGTGTACTGGAAATACATTATGGAAGGTATTACTGCCCACCATGAACAGTGCAGTGGTTGACAATAGTTCCATAATGATTGTGACCAGAGGTATCTGGCAAGAATTATCTGCAGTAACAGACAAGCAACACTGGCTCAAATCATATCCACATTCAATGCAAATGTTGTCATCTATGGAATATATGAGCAGAATACCCACCAGAGTGCCCCCGTTAACATCAAGACAAAGAACACAGCACCTTTTTGTGACTTCACTAATTGGACTGGAGGATTGGCTATGTGTTGTCCAATAAATCATGTTTCCAGTTATTTAAGCTAATGGTAGTGTAGTATCTGTGTCATCTCAGATGATGTCAAAACAGGTTTTGCACACAGTGTCCATCAGAGAAGCCATCATCAACTTTGAATATGCATGGGTCAATATACAGTTCCCGTCTCTATTATGGATGTATTATAACATTTTGCATTAGAAAATTTGCCTTTTCTGAACTTGATTCCTTATTCTTTTTGTATCACATTCTTTTGCTGATGGGCTTTCTAGTCTTCCAGTGTGCAATATGGTTGTGTAACTTAAAAGTAGTCTTGGTAAAAAATTTTTTTCCTTTTTTGCTACAAACATGCTTTTAGACCTATTTTTATGATTTGTACTATCCTTTTTGCTTTACTATTTGATTGATGATACGGATGTTTCTTGTAAGGCCTGCATCCTATTTGTTGTAGCCATATAGACTATTATTTGGACATCATCTAAATAAGCTGCTGCAAAGTTCAGTCTAGTTAACAAAGTTAACATAATTTGTTGAAATATTGTTGGCATGAGCTCAAAACTAAATGGTAAATGATTGATCATTTATAATCTTTGATGAGTGTTTAGAGTCAATAAATGTCTGTCTTTTCCTTCAACTTCTTTCATATAAGAGTTTGTCTAATCAATTTTCAAGAAAAAATTTTGGCTATTTAGTTTAGCAATTAGTTGAGCAGTAAATAGGTCAGTGTAAATGCAAAGAATGTGATTCTTTACCAAGCACTTTTTAAACTTTTTCTCATTTGTACTTGTTACACCATTATAGGAATTGTTTATATATATATATAATTATAAAATTTTATTATTATTATTATTATATATATATAATTATAAAATTTTATTATTATAATTACCGTTTCTAATATTATTACTTCCTTGTACAATATCAGCATTTAATGAACCTGTTATCGAGCTGGTTTTTTTAGTTTTGGTAACTGGCAAATTAGTAGAATGGATGTCTATTCATCCCCCTACACATCCTGAGAAAAAAAATCCCCAAATTAGAAGTTTGTTCTTGAACCTGTAAGTACTTTTGACTTGAAATTTTGCTTTCATTCCTTAATTACTATTGCTACTACTACTGACCTTGGTGTTTGTATTCAGGAGAATATCCATCAATGTTAAGGAAATTGTCCTGCAAGTCCCCAGATGATTCTTTTATGTGCTTTCACCATTATTGCACACTATTAGATATCTCTTTTTCCTTTATCACTCTTTCTTCTCAAGACTGCAATATATTAGCCAAAATTTCTGACAGTACAGAAATAGCTCTCTCTCTCTCTCTCTACATTCATCTGTGAACATTTTTGTGTTTGGTGATTTTAATGCTCATCATGATATGTGGTTTAAGCATTCTAATGTTACTTATGTTGCTAGTATTCAGATGTTCAATTTTTCTCTTGCTCAGTCTCTCAAATCAAATGGTGGATTCCCTTACTTCCTTTCCTAGCTCTTGTCAAGCATCACAACTCTGTCCTCTTGGCAGTTAAGATCATGCTGTAGTACTATTTGTTGATATCTCTTTACAGTTATCTGTTATGCAAGAATCTCCTATTCACAAGACTTCTCTCCCTTATTAGTATACTGATTGAGATGCATTTGATGACTTTCTTCATGATGTCCCTTGGATAGATATTCTTAAGTTTCCTATTGAGAAATGTGTCACAGAGATTTCTTCTTGGGTTAAAACCAGCATCAAACGTTTTTGTACCTTCTTGGTAATACCAGATGAAACTACAATCTTTTCCATGGATCACACCAGTCTGTTCAGTTGCTGTAGTTCACAGGAATTACTATTTTCAGCTGTACCAGTTCTAATCACAACAGACACCTATTTATCTATACATATAATAATTGTAAACATATCCTCAAAGGGGCTAAGTCTTTGTTTGCTTATTATCAACTATCAATTAAATGGATTTCCTTTGGTAGAGTCCAGTTTCTTCTTGCTGTGATGGTGGTAAAATGAAATAGCATGACTGATGACTTCTGCCTGTTGGGTTACTCTGTGTAGTTATGCCATTAAATGTCCTTTTTAAAAGATTGACCACCATAAAATGGATCAGAAAGATGTATTTCTTTTTAAAGCTTTCCATTGGCTGAAAAACAATTTTTTTTTTATTAATGTTGATGATTGATGATTTTGAATATTCTGCATTGAAAAAAAACAAATGGCACCAACATTAGTTAGAGCTCTGCGGAGAAAATTTGAACTTTTAGCAATTGTATTAAAAATTTAGAATAAACGTGTTATTATGGCGAAAGGAATAAAAGAATGTTGCCTCGTCAGGATAATGAAAATGAATATCTCTCCAAATTTTGTTCACATGGTTTACTGCCCTAATTTAAAGTATGTAAAAAAATGAAAATAAGGTTCTCTTTATGTATTCTTTTGAAAGGATTAGCTCAGTTATTCTAACAGGAATTACAAATAGGAGTAATACTTAAAGTGAAGCAAATGGAGAAGGATATTAGAGAAAGAAAATGAAACACTCAATACATTTATGAGATGCTTTCCTAAAGTTTGAAAAACTTGCTGCAAAAGATGGCTTCCTTAAAGAAATAAAAAAACTGGTAGAAAATGATTTTTTTTAAATTTCCTGTTGGGCTGATTTCAAGAAATGTATGCAATGTCTGGTGAAGTAGAGAGAAATCTAGGTAACTTGACAGATGAACAGATTGCATATCTTCAAATTTACTGAACTTTTTGGTAACAGCTTGTATAAATAATGAAATTTATATTTGAAATATTTTCTATAAACTAGAAAATGTCAAATACTTTTTAGAACTGAAGCATTGATATTTACTGACTTTTCAGTTGACATTAAAATTCAGTTAAACCATTTTCAAACTCTCATACAATTATAATTTCTAAGAAATGATTTTATTAATGTTTCTGTTTATCAATGTTTTAAGTCTCTCAAACATTTTGATAAATGAATCAAATACATCAATTGTTTATAAGGATAAACTCTAAATAAAACTAAATTTGTTCCATAGAATTTTCTAAAATATATTCTCAGCAGTTTATACAAGAAATCTAAAATAAAGACAATTCAGATTAGAAATAATTTGGTTGGTTAAACATTGAAGTTGGGTAAATAAAATTTGAAACTCTTGGTTATCATTGACTTTACACATACACAAACAGACTAACTCAGTATCTATAAGATGTGAAAAATTTATCCAAAGTAAATGTTTATGTAAATGCAATTGTGGGGGTTTACATTGGTTGTTTACAAGTAGTTATTGTTGGATAATATCCTTAATCCTAATATACACCAATTTTTGGCCTTTTAAAAATGCATGCAAAGATAATTAGTACAAAGATATATTTTGTATGTACTGATAAAATTTTATATCTTTTAAAATATAAAATATTCAAATAGTTAATAAGTTCATATCAGAAAGTTATAGTGTTGAACGGCTAAGTCCTTAAGCAGATGAGAGAGAGAGAGAGAGAGAATAGAATCCTTGTAAATGTATATGTATGTATGTCATTGATAGTAGTAATCCTTTCAACACACTGGGATTTTTGGGTGTCCTGATAATGTAGGGTATGGGAGAAAAATTATTTCATCAACTCTCTGGTTCCTTTACCTGGCTGTCTCTGTGTTTATCACTTTTTCAAGACAAATTAATTTCAGAATTGTCTCTTGCTTCCTGATTGTCAAATGAGTCACACCTGTGAACCAATCTCTTTTTCTT